TATATATATATATGACTTGAAGATGAGACATTTTTTAAGAAAATTTAATATAGAATTACTCTAATCAACAACTTATTAATTAACATGATTATTTAAGTTCAAGAAAAAGTTGATAATGTATTAAATTATATATATTTTTTTGTTTATTATTATCTTTAGTATTATTTTCTTAAAATAATTATTATGAAAATAAATGAACTTTTCAAATAATATATTTTAAAAAAGGAATATTAATTAATTCTTAAAAGTAATTTAAAATTTTTAATTATTCATTAATTCATAAAACCAATTTTGATAACAACCTTCTTTTATGTAGGCCTATTTGTTGTCACTCATATTTTGTATTTTTTTAATTTTTAAATCAATTAATAAATAATTGTTTTACTTTTATAATTATTCAAGATTTTTCATACTCTTTAATTATTACTCAGTTATTTATATTTTTTTTGTAAAGATAAGAAAGATTATAAAGATAGTCGAGGATTAAACCTAAATCTTCATGCTTCTAATTATCTCAACATCTCTCCATCCAATCACTAGGCTAACCCTAATGGTCGCCCGTTATTTATATTTAACTTTAATTACTTTTCATCTTTTATTTTATTTTTAAATAAAATATATAGAAAATTTATGCTAATTTTCAAATAAAAAGTACGAAATAAAATACACATTCAATTATTAACTAATAAAAAATCACTAAATTCACTTAGTGGAGTGTTGAGAATAATATACATCATATCCTAAGTCTTAACTTGAGTGCAATCTTTATATACACTAAAAAAAGAAATTATTACTCCCTTTATTTCTTTATTATAATACATAATTTAGAAGATATTAGTGATCTTTTTCAATAATATACCTTACAACTTATATAAAGTATTAATTTTAGTTTTAGTTTTTTTTTGTCCCCAATTAAAATAGTAAGAATATGTGCTTCTTTTTCACATTTCTTAAACTCTTTATTGCGATTTATCATTTTTATTGATATTGGTATATAAACTTTTATATAGAATAATTTATCACATTTCTTAGGAAAATTTAATAATAAATAAGAAAACTAAAATTGATAAACCATAATTTTATTTTATGAATTAAATAAAATAAAGTATCGTAACTATTTTTTATTAATAAGTGTGATTAGGTTAAAAATGTTTTATATCTATATCTTCTATAATTTATAACATATAATAAAGGGGGTTGCTCCATTTAGTGTACACATTTTTTTACAATTTTATCCTTAAATTTTTAAATAATAAAAAATAATATTAAAAATTAAGTATTCTTACAAAAATAAAACTGTAATGGTCATGGCCGTCACCACACACCACTAGAACATATACCAAAATAGTATAATAAGAAAATATATACATCTATCCAACCATAAAGGCTCAATAAGCCAAATAAATATATACAATGCCAACAAAATGCTACTCCAAGATAGCCAACAAAAAGATCATCTAGTCCATCTCTTACCATTAAGTGGCCTCCAATAGCTCACAACAATCTATCCTTGCCATGCTCCCATACATAGTATGATCATTGTAGTTCACACCACATGGAAACTTGTAAGGGTAAGCTAGTGAAAAGAATCAACATATATATAAGCAACTTACAACACAACAACATTATCATCATCCTCAACGGTTCAACATGTAACACATAAATAACACACAACTCAACCATAGCTTCACAACACAACAACATATATACAACTTACATCAACACAAATCAACTCATCAACAATTTATGCGTCGTCACGCATTACAAATCAGAGATCTCCTACAACATAGGTGAGCAGTCTAAGTGGCTAGGCCCTACCGAACCAACAACACAGAACCTTTTTGGGCTTGCTAGGTAAACAACAAATTTGGATAAAAATATACAACACGATAAAAATTTCTCAAACTTTGCCACTTAAACAAGGAAGTATAATACTATGTCAAGATAGGACAACTAGGTTTAGGCCTACCACGACATTAGTTAGCTTAACTAAGCCACTTATGGGATTAGCCTACTGACTATCCTTCAAATACTACAATCCTCCGATACTCAATTAAGAACTAAGTTCTCGACTTCGTACTTTACTCGAATTGGTCGCTTGTAATCGGTATAGCTCGACCTGGCCCCTATACCGTGGTCATTTTATACACGTGTGCCTCGACCTTGCCCACACATGGGATCAACTAAGTCCTAGAGGAGAACAACACATCACCCACTCTAAGAGACAACTTCCCAAGTAGGGTTTTTCAACAAATTAGGCTCTCACAGCACCATAACTATCTCAATCCACACAATGGGATGACAACCTCAAAAACATCTTCTCTAGTCCTAGTGATCAATAACTCATCATCACAACACGATCAACACAGTTTTCAACTCATCATCTCAATCAACTTTCAACTTGAACAACACAATCAACTCACAACTTTGACAACACAATTTATCAGCACAACAACTCATCAACATTGTTTAACAACACATTTTAACAACACAACAACTTATTTTAACTTTAAACAACACAATTATCATATCATTAGCTCAACTATCAACTCATTTCAACTTTAAACAACACAGTCAACTCAACATCTCAATAGTTCAATTCACAATTTATAACTCAACTGTCACAAATTAATATCTTTTCAACACATAGTACAACATACAACTCTCATCTAACAAGTTAGCAACATAGTCTACTAATAACTTTTGTATCGCCTCAACACCTCTATACACTTCACATCATACTTCTCAAACTCACAACATTATCATCATGTACTTCACAACTCTCAACTAGATCATCTCATCATATTTCACAAAATATAAATAATCAACACATAACATAAAACAATTTTAACAACTTAATTTCAACATGCTTCAACAATATCATATGTTCAACATATAATAGATCAACACACAACTCATAAACAACTTCACAACATACAACATATTCAACACATAATACAACTCACCCATCATGTTTACCACTCATCTATCATGTCAACTTACACAACATATACAACATGAATTAACCTAAGCACCCAAACAACTTTCAACTTAACCAAATCACTCCTTGTGAAATGGCAACCTTCACATAAACTGTGTATCGGGAGTTATACTACTCCTATCATGCTTATCCTTATCTCATATGAAAGATAAGAAGACTTCCTACAACTCTTATGAAGATATCAAGTCCTAATTCCATCATCTACGCTGTTAAAAATTATAAAAACTGCAACAGCTATAACCAATGCTGACAACTTGACCCCTACTTACTAAAATAGTCATATATGGAGTTCTAGACCTCCTTTTTGGGTGATTCCAACACTATTGGAAAGCTAAGATCCAATGCTACAACTTTCATGAAGACCACAAAGTCAAATTCTGAAAGCACAAAATCGCTCAGTGCCTCCAAAGGGCTCAACTCTTTGCCTCCAAGAATTCTCCCCTGGCATGCGGCCCCCAAAGGGCTCAACCCTTTCCAAGGGCTCAACCGATTCACCAAGAGCTCAGCCGTTCCCAACGACTCAGCCCTTTGCCTCCTAGGAATGCTCCCCTTACACGTGGCCCCCAAAGTGCTCAACTCTTTCAAAGGGCTCAACCGTTGATGATAGAAACACTTAGGTTCTTCACCATTTTCACCAAAATCAGACATGCAAATGCACTCAATCCATATAAAACACCAATACAAGAAGATCCAAAACATGAAATCATCAATTTTCAGCACACAACACAACATGCAACTCAACAATCCTCAAAATTACCACATACAAACTCCCTAGCTTCCCTTACCTTAGAGAAGAAGAATCCGAGCTTCGGGGAATAAGAGAACAAGCTTCCACACGACTTTGGGTTTTTCCCAAACTTCAAGCTCTCTGACACCAAAAGCTCAGTTTCTCCTCAGCTCAATCTTTAGAAAACAAGGAAAAGGGGAGAAAGATTTCGTTTCAACCAAGGACAAAGAAATGAATAAGGAAACATGAGCGAGGAAAGGAAGAAAGAGAAGGAATAGAAATGAGAAGGAGAGGAGCAACACGTGTGGGTCTTACAAAAAACTCAAATTCAAAGTCTTTATGTTTGAAAACCAAATGCAAAATCAATTAATATATCAAATATCGATAACTTTTAAATATTTTTATTAAATAAAATATTGATACATAAAATGTTTCGACACCATTAACCTATTATATGGGAAATACCGATGCATGTAATAATTTTTTATTTTTATTTTTTATTAGACCATTATATCTCTCAAATATTAAAAAAATATAACTTTTCATATTAGGTATCAAATTGTTTTTGTCCTTACTTTTTAATATATCATTATATTTATCACGTATTGAAAAATATAGTTTTTTTTATAACATTATGAATAATCACTCACAAATATATAATATTTTATGAGTGTAACTAATAAAATAATACATTAAAACGATAATTAAAATGAAACAAAATATAGTTGCCAAAACATGGGACAAAAAGGGAAAGGAGGAGAAACCGGCGTAACTGAGGTGCATCGACGAAGTAGAGGCAAAACCTACATAGGTTGCTTCGATACCAGTATGCTTCCAATTGCACTGCTTTCATCCCATCAGAGTTAAGCTTTCGATTTGGTGAGTTATGGCCCTTTTCCTTGTATTGCACAGTCTAATTCATTTTTGCCTTTGGTGACAGTAATTGAAAACCCCTTTGGTTTCTACATTCATTTCCCTCTGTTTGATGAATTGGGTCCATAGGGAGACATGTTATTCAGTGATTGAATTGAATTGGAACTGAATATTTTCCCTTCATCTGGAATTACTGATTTTCGTTTCAGATTGCGGGGTTTCCAGGCTTTAGTTTCTGGTTCTAATTTGTGGCTTGTTTTTCTGCTTAAATTATTTGTTTCTTACTTTCTTTGAAAAAAGTGAGCGATTCCAATTAGCATTCATTTATTATAGTCTACTTGTCAGTTTAATCAGCTGGGCTCAAAGAAAGTTTTGATTTTTCTAACGAATTTGGTAAATGTTCAGTCTGGGTTTTGTTCCATTTCTCGAAGAAGCTCTGCCAAGGCCACAGATAAGATGATTTTGATTATTAGAGAAAGATGTATTTTTTTTATAAGGATTTTTCACTTGATTTCTCATGGTTTTGTGTTTAGTACTTGGATATTTTATTATCATACATACTCTGAAATTTCTCTGCCAAAGGTGCCATACACAAGATAAGTGTACTATCCTATTGAGTTTAACCTATATCATTATCACAATTCCGAATGAGCTTATGAACATCTCATGTTGAGATTGATTATTGTAAGGCTATATAAATGATATGGGAGAGTGGCAGTTGTTTTGGATTATGTGGTGTGATTTAATTTTTTAGGTGCATGTGCTCTCCTTCCTTGGGTAGTTCTAGGTGTTGCCCTCGCACACCACGCTTAAACTTTTCCAGTCACTTATGAGTGAGGCTCTATACCCGAGCCTGAGTGCAACATAGGAGGAAGTGAGAGGTTGTTATTTTTTAGGGGTAGATATTTTAGGTCCGCTTCCTGTTTGGTTATCATAAGAACCTTATTTTGAGTGTGACTCTCATGTGGATATCCACATTTCGAATCTGTTTCCTTTTTGTGGCTAACATTTTGAGAAGAGTACTTGACTCCACGGACCATTTATTGGAAAGATAGTCGAGCTACCCAAGAGAGCCTTCACAAACTACAGGACCAATAAACTTTTATGTTAGAAATCCTTTATTCGTAGGTAAAACCCAATTTAGGACAAGGGGCATCCTTAGCATCTTAATGTTCACTAGACTTGATGATTTCATGAACAGAAATTATTTCTTGTATTGTCAATTGTGACTTTTTGAATGATGTTTAAATTTAAGGTGAGAAAAATTAGGGGAAACCGGATAAGTTTTGGCAGAAGAATGGCGGTCTTTGGCACAATCCCTTCAATACTGAGACTCGTATCCAATTTATGAGAAGACTGAATTAGTGTTTGATTTCTGAGCTTGCAATTACATTGGGTTTTTGTTTTTAAATGACTGCAGTTTGGACCTGAAAAACTACACTTGGTTTGATTGTCACCTCGGGTCGCACAGTTATTACTACCCTTCTCCTGTGAATTGTCAAACATATGCTCTAACATGGATAACAAGAAGAAAGATGAACCCCAAGATCGGAAACCTGATGAACTTGCTGAGTCGCTTGATGACCTATTCAGTAGCATTTCCACCATGATCAAATCAGAGCTTCAGGTTAGACCCCTTCCCTCTTTGAAATCCTAATCCTCGCCTGTTCAATGGACACTTCGTGAATTTAAATGTGGCATTGTTTGGAACTTAATAGGGGACTAATAATCACCTAGAACTGTTGGAGAAGATGAATGTGAGGGTAGCAGAAGAGTACAAAGGGTTTGGTGATTTGGCTTCAGGGTTGAGAGTATTTGTGGAGCAGTTGAAATGCAAGAGTGGTAGCTTTAATGAGTATGTTGAGCAGATTGATAACATTGAGAAGCAGGTGACTGAGTTTGAAGCTGTGATCTCTATGCTTGAAAGATATGTGGCTTTATTGGAATCGAGAGTGCAATCTGAGTACCAAACCAAAATCCATCTTCCTAATCAACAATAATGTACAAATTTTACTTTTCATGATGAACATTTGCCTTGTTTCCTACTTAGTGAATGAATTCCTAGATTTACAAACTTTATTGATCTATATATTTATGAAGCATTTAATAAAAAGGATGGAAACTGGAAAATACACATTAAATCACTTGTCTGATCTTTGGTGACTTCTTATAATTAGGGGTATTTATGGGTATGGTTAACCATGAAACCGACAAAAATTGACTCAATTACTAATAGTGTGTTTGAAAATCCATTTGGAACTTCGTAAACTTAAAATCCCATTTTTTGAAGCTGCCAACGTAGAAGGAATGGATGAGGTGGATGGACATTTCATTCACCAAACAGAATACCAAAAATGCACTGGATATTTTGGTCAAATTCAACCTAACCATTTTAGACACATTCATGGATGGGTTTTGATTTAGAACTTGTGAACCCGATCCGTGTATGTCATATTATTAAATTTATTTCATACATATATATAATATAATATTTATGTTAAATTAAAAAGTAGAAAAGGGCCTTAGACCACTTCTTTCATAGATGATAAATTATTTATTCTTATAGTTTTTGCAATGTTTCTCAATCAGTATTATGGTTTCCTCATGTGAGCATTTTTTTTATCATAATCAGTTAGATTATACATGCTAATTTAGTTATTATTATTATTATTATTTATTTATTTATTTTTTTTATAATGTTTTTCCAAACATGATTGCATTAGCTATCATGTATATTTAAGATGCTTCTAATTGAGGAATATTAGATTCCAACCTGGTTTGAAATCAAACATGGCAAACTTGTGCGTACTTTCTCCAAATATTGTTCCTGAGATAAGAACAACTCCCTTTGCTGCCTTTCTCTAAAAATATCCACTCCAAGGATCTTCTGAGCCTTCCCAAGGTCTTTTTTTTTTCAATCTCCTTACTAAGGTGAACTTTAACCTCGTTTATCACCTCAATGTCTTGGTTGACAATTAACATATCATCACTGTACAACAAGTAAAGGTACGTATTACCAACCAATGTTTTAAAATAGACACAACTATCGTAATTGCAACTAGTGAAACCACCCTTGTGAAAAAAATCACCAAACCTCTTATTCCATTACCTTGATTGTTGCAGTCCATATAAAGACTTTCTTAACAGACACACTTTTTCTTCTTGCCCTTCCTAAACAAAGCCGTGTGTTGTTTCATGAGTATCTGTTTCTCAAGGTTTTCTCGGAGGAATGTTGTTTTAACATCCATCTATTTCAGCTCAAGATCTTCTTAGAATAGTGGATTAAAACCTAATTCAACCCTACAAAACCGGCTTGTAAGGTGAGAGATATTTTCCACTTATATACTATTTAATTGCCTAATCTCTAGTCGTTGTGGGACTTAGGCCTTTCCCAATATACCCCCTCACGTCCAATACTATTGGGCTTGGTACGTTGATAAATGGTAGGTGGCCCTTTTGCGGGACTTGAATACACCCCTTCATACCCATAGTGCATATATCAATGAATGGTGGGTGGTTCATTTTTAAGAATCTAGGATGCTCTAATACCATATTAGAATAGTGGATTAAAGCCTAACTCAACCCTACAAAACCGGCTTGTAAGGTGAGTAGTGTTTTCTACTTATATATTATTTAATTGTCTAATCTCTAGTCGATGTGAGACTTGGGTCTTTCCCAATAGATCTTGTTGTGCAACAATAAATAATATCACTAATCGAGTTGTGTTTAACAACAGGTGAGAAAACTTCAGTGTAGTCAATCCCCTCTTTTTGAATAAATCCTTTTGCTACCGTGTTGGTTCTACTCTTGGTATTCTCTCCTTTCTTTTATACAACCATTTTCATCCAACCACCTTGCTGTTCTTAGGTCTGTCAATCAACTGCTTAGTTTATTCTTATTCTAATGATTGAATCTCTTCAACCATAGCCCACATCCATTCCCTTCTGTGGCTGCTCGTCATAGCTTCAATACAAGTTAGTGACTCATGTTCCTCAGTATCTTAGGGCATGTTTGGATGATATTTTCTAAGTAATTTTGAGAGAGAAAAATATGAAAAAAAATTAGAATAAGTTTTTTTATAAGATAAAATTAGTTTATGCATGAGTTAACAATAAGATTTTAAAGAAACTAATGAAAGTTGACTTCTATAAAATAACTTATGTACCAACTATTTAACATCTCTTTATTTATTTATTTAAATTAATAATTATAATACTAAAAGAAATTAGCATTCATGTAGCACGCGGGTATATATGTAGTCACCACTCATGTAACACGCAGGGTATATATGTAGTCTTCGTTAATTAAAGTCTTGAAAACACATATCAGCAATATCGAGTCCTCAAAAATGCAATAATTGAAGTCTAGAAATTAGAAAAGAATCTTCAACACACAGTCATATTGGATTTCCTTTTTGACATTATATTAAAGAAAACAAACGATTAGGGTGTGTTTGAGAATCAGTTCAATCGAGAATTCAATTAAAATAATAAAAAAATGTATTCACAATTTTTTATTTTTTCAGCATTGAAATGTGTATTTTCAGTTGAACATGATTTCAGAACTATCCAAATACACACTAAAATGCATCATTCATGAAGGTTCACACATAACTTTATTGCTTTTGCAGATAAATATAGCCCCTCAGATTAAGTTAAGACAATACAGTAGTACACTAGCGTGAGACACACAAGTCTTTGCATCCTTAATTTTATAAAATATTTTTCATTTAATTAATATCTCTAAAAGACATGCGACTCTTTACTGTCTCTAAAATATTTTTCATTTAACTAATATTATATTTTTAATAATTTTTATTTTTAATTTCAAGTTTCAATGAGAGAAAATGAAAGTAAAAAATATTTTTAATTGAGATAATATTGACTAACTTTTCTTAACTCCGAAAAAAAAAACTTTCTTAATTATTGTACAAGTTAATTAGTTTTTCTTCCTCCCTCCAATTACGAATATAAAAAATTTAATTTACACTAATTAAGAAAGTTAGTTAACATTGCTTAATTACAGTAATCCTATTTAAAAAATAATCTAATTTCTTAAACTATCAATTTTTGGAATTTGATATTAATAATAAAAAAAATTATTAGAAATATAATACCAATTAGATGAAGGAATATTTTGGAGATAATGAAACTTAGTTGGGATTTACTTGTATTTGAAATCAGTAAATGACTTTTTTTCCACTTATATTCATAACCGATAAGTATAATTTGGTTTGGAGAGAGTACATAACATAATGTAGTATGAAAGAAACCACTAGAATGAATCTAGTAGTGAGAATTGTGATAATATGCATAAGGTATATTCAACATTTTATTCCTATCATTGTAATATTTTTTTATTGATACAAAAAAATCTGAGTTAAAGATCAACCGAAGCATATACAAAAGGGCATTATGATGTAAAATCCACCAACACGTTTTGCACATAAATTATATCTCTTGTTCACGTACATTTAACTTGAAGCTAGTGAGAACAATTAAAGCAGGGGATGGTCTTTTTAAAGTGATACATGATTATATATAATAATAAAAAATATGTTTCTTTTAGTGCACTGAAGAAATTTTATACAAAATAATATATACACTAACGTCAAAGTTACCTGAAGTCAACCATGAGTTTGATGATCTGCAATGGAAGAAACAATGAGATAAGTAAACATTTCTCATGGACTCAGCTTCATTGAATTGTTCTTTATAAAAGGCCCTAACTAGATTTCAGCACTTCATATTTCACTTGACACATCGCCATTGTACTCTTCAATTTTAATATCCAAAATCATTTCTGCCAAAGCTTGAGCTAATTACAGTATCATGTTTGGTTGTAGGTTTTATCTCTTTTGTGTGGTGACTATTTTATGCATATATATGCCTTGGAGGTTACCATGCAAAGCAGTGCTTGGAGAAAGCAAGCAAGCTCTTCTCAAATTAAAAGATGGTTTCATGGAAGGCATTCTCTATCTTCGTGGAATGGTAAGGATTGTTGCAAATGTAAAGGAATTTCATGCAAGAATTTAACTAGTCATGTAATGAGATTGGATCTCTGATTTTCAATTCTTTCACCATTATTTGTAGCAGACGATTTAAGTTATGTTGATTATGGAATGGATCTAGTAACTTTTAATGATTATGCATCATTGGGAGGTAAGATAGATCCTTCAATATGTGAATTGCAGCATCTCACTTTCTTCTCTTGTAATGACTTAGAAGGTGAGATTCCTAAGTGCATTGGTTCACTTGGTCAATTGATAGAGTTGAAACTTGCACTGAAAGATTTTGTTGGTTTCTTTCCTCATACTATCCGTACCGCTATGCCGAGTTCGAGCTCGGCATCACAGCATGGAGCGACCTCGGATACACGCTAGGCGATGTCAGCCCGACATCCAAATAGGTCATAACTGATCTCAGACCCAAAGCCCAATAAAATCCTAATTCACACTAAGGTATGTGCATTACTTATACAAGACCCATACATCCACAAACACTAACTTTAGCATCAGAGTCTCTTTTGCAGGTACCACCCCTGCCTTGGAACAGCAAACGTACCCAGTGAAGGAGGCTCACCGATCTTACCCAGCAGATCTTCCCCTATGACCGATCTCCGGTAAGAACACTTTCCAATTTGCAAAATCATGACCTTAGGTATAATAATTTGGTTGCAAATTACCTTGAATGAATTTCTCACGTTTCTAATTTGAGATACCTTGGTCTCTCAAATATCAATCTTATTTAGTAGAGTTGTTGAGTGGTTATCATCAATAAGTAAAATCCATAAGGTAGTGGACCTTTATTTAGAAGCTTCTAAGCTCCCTAAGTCAATCATAAATCTGTTGCATATGTGAATTCTTCCACTTCTATGCAAATCCTCAATCTTTCGGAAAATGAATTAAACTCATCAATTCTTTCATGGGTTCTTAATGTTAGCAAAATCCTCACACACTTTGATCTCTCATATAATGATATTGATGGTAGCATAATAAAATCCTTCCAGATTTTTTGCCAAATGAAGATGTTGTTCGTGAGTTCCAATAACTTGTTTGCACAATGACTACTTACCAGAACTGTGTTTTGCACAACATAATTTAGAGGCGTTGGTTTTCGACCACAAACCATTTAATAGTGGGCCAC